ACATATCCGTAATGATGCATGGGTAACTAATGGCGAAAGGCTTACATGTACAAGTAGAACTGATATGTGGAAACATCTTAGTCATTTCAAATGGCCAAATATGAAGGCATGCACTATGTAGTCTGTTATTATATGGCCACAGGTCTCTAGACATGACAGGAGCAACCACCATTTCATTCCTACCAGATAATTATGATCTACACATACATGCTCCCTTAGGAACTTCAGACCTTCCAGGTAAACAGTAATCTCAGACCGGTGAAATTAGATGCTTCCTAAACACAGGATGTCTCCCTTATAATCTAGCTTAGCTTTTTCAACTTCATGCCCACAAATTGCAACTTTTGTATGGCAAAATAGATTTTTGACAACCCAAAAAGCGACGTTCTCCTTTTTTGTCAAACGTTACATTCACTGACAGGGTTTACTTGAGATGGTTGAAAGAATAGTAGTAATACCTTGAAAGCTTTGTGGAAAGAGTTGCATGTCAAGTCTAAGGACAGTGACTACATTTGCCTGTAGTAAAGATAATCTACTTCTAACCTCAAATCTCCATAACAAGAAAACTAAACTGCGATGATGTAGAGGTAATCTGAGTTACAGCTCAGTATATGTTACTTGACACTGAGCAGATAATCTTCCAATTCTCAAGATGACCCAAAGCAAATTTGAAGTGTCTACACAACTATTTACTACATGAATGATTAGCATTCCAGCCATTCTTCCAAACTCCCATGGTGTTGTAAATAATCTGACAAGAGAAGACTGTCTTGCCAATCTGGACTATCCAGTCTTCAGTCACTACATGTAACATAACACTGTATTATTAACAGGTCATATTATCTGCATTCTCTGGTACACATGTGTGGGGGTGGGGTGTATCTTATATTCCCTCAGGCTATTTGCTATCTTAAGTAGGACGGACCATACAGTTACTCTCCAAGCAGAGGTTTGGGTTTTGGGGGTATTTTTAGCGTGTTTTTAGGCTTTTTTATCGGGGTTTCTCTTTTGCACTGAATTTTTTTTCCCACCAAACCCAACCTCTGCCGGCAGTCGAAAACTTCAATGGGCTATAAACCTAATCACTTCAACACATTTCAGTCGTTCTTCAAGGAGGTGTGAACCAGACGCATGAATAGGCACAGTCAGCAGGAGGCGTGTGGCCCAATGAATACCTTTCCGACTGCCTAGAAGTGTGATAATCCACCACAATAAATAGATATCCCTAATGACAGTTTGATGGTTCCCGGGGAGGGGCACTATCGCCTGTTTTGAATAGGTTTGCCCCTCCCCGAGGTGAGTGCCGGCAGAGGTTGGGTTTGGTGGGGAAAAAAATTCAGTGCAAAAGAGAAACCCTGATAAAAAAGCCTAAAAACACGCTAAAAATACCCCCAAAACCCAAACCTCTGCTTGGAGAGTACCATACAGTGACAGTTTTCTGTTACTCTTTTGTACCCAACACCTCAAGGTCAGATATGCTTGTCATGATGTCATCCATATGTTAAATTATGTTTAACGTTAATGAATAACCTCAAGTCCACCCAAATGTTCAGCATAATCATTAGACCTTTCAGTCCTTAGCTAGCATATGATATGAACTCCATGATATTCAGGTACAACTGTTTTGCAGGGTCAATTCCCACCAATTCTATGATAAAAATACTGGTAATTCTCATTCATGACATAGTTTATATGTACACATACACCATAAAGCTACCAAGTATGAGACTAAACAGAAGCCTTAATTTGTGAAATCAATAACTAGCATACATTGTATTGACCTACTAACATGGTGAGGTCAATACTTGTGAGTTATCAGGTGATCTACAAGTGTCCTGGCTACCATTACAACAAATCCTGCAATAGGATTAACAACTACTCTGTGCTATCTGGTTGACAAAATAACAGCCATTACTGGCCTTATCTACTATTTCTGAACCTTGCAGTAGCACTTGCTTCAGGCAGCTATCTCAGGTATCAAAGACGTCTTTGTGTCTGCTCCTTGTTACCTGTGCATCTAGCACTATAGATATAATTCATCTCAAAGGTAGCACTCCAAGATGTACCAAACATAAGTCTCCTTGTGATCCTTGCTAAAACCAATTTTTGCCTGGCACTTCCCCTTCTTCTGGCCCTTTTCCAAGCACTTGAATCAGGAAGATTTATGTCAACAATAATGAAAGAGAGGTATCCTGATCCACATCATGGCACATGCATCCTCTGGAAAGTTACTAAGGTGACAGGCATCATCTTACTATGTAAAACCTCAAAACAAATGACAAACATCTATCTTATGACAGTTTTCGCAAAACATGTAAGCTACTTCTACTACTACTACTACTAGTTGTAGTAAATCTAATAATCTACAATATACAATAATCTACAGTGTCAACTCCATTTCTTCTCATTCATAAAAGAAATCACCTTTGCTGTGGGAAGGTTATCATAATATCAGCCATGTTCACAATTGGAAAACAAAATTTGACATTGTGGTGTACTTGAGATTAAGATCTCTATACAAAGTGCCTGTAAAATAAAGAAGCTTACTTTCGAATTCAGAAAATGTAAAACTGAAAGGGAATAGCCTTGGACGTCCCTGAAGGAGCATCTGATTTCCCTTACATGTTCAAGATTCAGACCAGAGAACAGCTTTCCGAAACCAGGAAGTTACTTGAAAATGACTCAATACCCAGATTTAGATTGTCTGGACATGAGCATGTGTCCAAACAACGAAAAGGAAAAAATAGATTTTGCAATTGCCCCCAGACATGACTTCATCCACTTCCTGTATTCAACTATTTACTTTTTCCTATCCTTCTTATAAATGCAGAATACAGTATTATCCACAGACCCTATTGAATATATGCATAAAGTGGAAATATTGAAATACATGGTAAGATTGCATTGGGGTTTTGTGCACATGAAAAATTTGGAAGTGAAAAAAATCTGTTCGAAAATGTACAAATTAGCTGATCCCCACAGGCCAAGGGATTTTCTATACTAGATAAAAAGAAGTAGAATTTAGTATCATAGTGTTGTATTCTAGAAGAGTACTTACAGCCTGCAAAATACCTGGTTGCCCAGTTGCCCCGGGGAACCAAATTTTACTTGAGGCAACATATTTTTGAACCTAGCTAGCCCATTGTGCTACCTGCACTTTAAGAATGCTACCCCCCCCCCAAATCATGCCCACTTGGCTTGCACCACTATATCTGGCAGATGCTTTTTAATTTTAGGTATTAATGGCTATAAGTATCAGTTAACTAAAGGCTGTTAGAAATATTGTCAAAGGCTTACGTATGTAACATTACTTAATTTGAGGAAAGTAGTAACTTATAGGTGGGGCAACCTATAAGTTTGCATGGAAATCATCAACCTTCCCATGAAAAATCTTCAAAAAATCCAAGCCATTTCATTTCAATATAATGGTGTTGCTATTGTACATTTTTTTCCAACATTCCAATGAAATGTTTAATATTCAGTATCTGTGCTATAGTAGCATACAGATTGTATCATATTATTACTGTGGTATTAATCGCATTATTATAAATTATCATACGTAACATACATTTATCATACATTACCAACATGTTTCCCTATAGTACTAGTATTTCCCTATTTGTATAGTACCTGCACACAAATATATGTTTTTGCATCTTTTTGTTTACCAAAAATCAAGTTGTTTTCCCAAAAGACTGCCAAGACTCTGTATTACATGTATTTAAACAACAAAGTCCTCAACCCTGTTTGCTGGGAAGAAAGACTTACAAAACAGTGCCTAACACATGCTCCTGCCAGATGTTGAGACATGTGCTCTTGGAAATACCAATTTGTCAACAATCTAACACCTACTACTTATCTGATAGTGCCTCCAGCTAATGCCATACAACCAAATTAACTACAAAATCACTCCATAATTTTCCATACAAGTACCCTGGTAGGGAGAGAGGTGTCTTTTTTCAAGCTGACTAGTCTCCAACAATGTTATGCAATCCATCATGAACGTAAGGAGGTTCTGCAGTTCAAGGCATATCGAAATGCACATCAAATAATGATTTAAGATTAAGAAAGGTGGTGTTAAATATTACACAACAATCTAGAAAAGGATGGGGCCTATTTTTTTTAGCAATGGCCAACGATAGCTTTATCCTGTGCATCTGAAATGAAGGTCCTCATCAACACACAATGGATGAACATCAAACATAATTTCAAAGCAATAGACAGATTTCATAACATGATGGTACCCACTGCTACCCAGTGTTTGACAAAATAATATCGGTCAGATAAACTGATACCATAATCAATTCTTGGTGTGGGTGTTCCCCTGGAAATGTATGACTTCCTGGTTGATGATATACCCCGAGCCAGGATGATATTTGGTGCCCTGACTAGATAACGTCTGGTCCCTGCGGGGATTGGGGCCAAGGATGGGGCCTTGGCCGCCGCAACATGACACCATACAACATAAACACCTCAGCAGGCAATCTACCCGCTCTGCAGGGGTAGGGTTTGCTCAGGAATAAAAGTGCTCTTGTCTGGTACACAATCACAGAGGAAATACATTAGACACAAGCTAAAGAAGCTCTGCACGACTGTCTCGATATGATGTAATGTAATCATATAGGTTGATTGTAATTTTTCACACGCAGAGGAACTAAGAATATCTAGTTTTATGACATTGAAGGACGTGTAAATCTTGCGTCGTCTGCAGAATTTGAGACGTCAGGCAAAAACGCCTGATACAAGTGATAGTCAACTGCCTGAGGTTGAGTAATTTTGGCTGGCTGTGTTGCAGACTAGATTGGGTCGAGTCCTTCGGATCTGGACAGGCCTGTGTCCGGCAGCAAACAAGGTATGTCATCCAAGGAACAGACTATTCATTCATTGTAACGTTACACACGTTCAACATGGCCGCAAGAAGCGGTCGACTTGCAGCGGGACTCAGGAGGGGCTTGTGCAGCGCGGCCCTGCCTGCTGGTGTGTCTTATCTACGTGCTTACCTTGCTCTCGATAGTGGTACACGCAAGCTCCTTGACAGTGTGGACTGTTAGGTCTGAAGCCGATAGGCTGACAGACTCCCTCTGAAGGCCGATTTGAAACTGGAAAGATATCATCCCCTCCTTGGACCCGGTAGACGTCGTGGAGGCGGTGGCGACGGCGACATTTCCGCTGCTTTCTCCGCCGTTTTCCGTCATTCTGCTGACTCTAGACAAACCTAAAGACTTCTAAATGATCGGAGAAGCACGGTGTGGTCCAAGAACTGAGAAGGGGAAAATAAGGAAAGCGCTAACCCTTCCCACACACTGCGGCACCGAGACTTAGCAAGAGCGGAAATGAAGCCGGTTGGCCGTCTCCTCCTGCCCAAATACGTAAAACCATAATAATGAGATCACGTGACAAGTCCTTCGTGACACATTCAACAGGTAGGCGGGTCCTGCTGCGGTGTACTGTAACCTCACAGGGCCCGCAGCCGACTTCTAGGGGTCAACGGAGCTCCTTTTTCTCACACAATGTGCTATAAAATAGTAAAAGACACAAAACATCAATGTTCCTTTTTTTTCACTTTCTATAAAAGGTATAAAACAAGAGTTTGGAGATGTCCGACTCTGTTAGAGCTTCCGTGAATAGTTTCGTTAGGATGAAGTCACTAAAAAGAGCCAATATAAAGAGACTGTGTTTTATTCAGCGGTCACGATGCACCATGACGGTCACCGAAACGTCGTTTGAATAAAACACTCTGTTGTTGCGTAAAAATAGTCTCGGTATTTAGACCTTTTGTAATTTTTTTTCTTGTCACATTGATTATGGAAATGAGGTTGTAATTAATCCTAGGCCTTGGGTAGCTGAAAGCATGTAGAGTAGTTAACTAATTATTCCCTTGGCATACCATTATCCCTATTTGGCCAATTCTTGCTATTTTTAAGCAAGCGACATTAAGGAGACTACGGAGGATGGCACCCAGGCTAAGTATCTGGCAGAGAGCTAATGCACAAGCGCAAGGTCATTGATGACAGCGCGAGCCCCAAAGCCCGAAAGGTTCAGAAGGCGAAGTTAACGTTAGGCGGAGAAAAAAAGGCATCATGCCCTTATAAATGAGTAGCAGAAATGGAATATTGGACGCATAATATTAACTAGTACGCTCGTTCATGGCAAAGGATGACTACCATACAGACTTCAGAAAGGAATACCAATTATATATATTATTCAATCTGGGATACACATTTTCAAAGCATATTCTAATCCCGCTTATACAACAGTCGTATAATACGTAACTTTATGTTACATATTGCTAAATGATAGTTTTATTCAGTCAACATATTTTACCTAAGGTGAAAGAATAGTTTCGCCAAGATAGTCAGTTCTAGATCTAGAACTATATTGATGAAATGTTGACCCAACAGTCCTCAAAATCGCTTGCATATCTTATGACGCTGCAAACCGCCGACAACCATACACCCATTCTTCATATACCGGGTACCGTGATGATGCATCGTTTTAATACCGAAGGAATAACCGTTACTCGTCAGGTGCAGGCGACACACGATTAGTGTGTTCATTACACCCAAAACGACGTAGATTAATACTAATACATTTGTACCAGGCATCGTTACTGAGAGGTAATTCAGTCCATTTGCCGATGCTGAAATGGAAAGGACACAGCGGACTAACGTTGGAAAATGTTGGATAGGGAGATATGATGTGAAAAGACCAAACACCAAATGAAAACCTGTCATCAACAACCTATATTTGCCATACAATGGTTTTCTGAATGCCAGCGACGACTTGGAAAGCTGTTACATAGTACACTTATCCTCGGTACCTACTCAGCTGAAAAACACCTATCTTGTCGCCCACAGTGCTCTGCACGGAACTTCCGCCCCGCCGTTCAAAAATCCGTTTCCTACCTACGGGACGGATAGGCGTTGATTGGCACAATGTGCGTCAGTAGACTACTCTACAACTGGAGTGGATTGCGCTGTGAAAATCAATGCCTTCGGCATGTCGTCGGCTACTAGTAACTTTTCAATCATTCACCCAAAGTGACCATGCAGTTCTCACCATTTTCCGAACCCGAAAGAAGTCACTTGTAGAATATGCACTGGCGATGGGTAGATTTTCCACATTACACAATCACAGCTTATAGATGATATACCCTGACTTCTCGTTATTACAAATTCAAAGTTTAATACCCTTGAAGGATACATTCATTACACACAATGTACCAGCCCCAGGGCACTGCAGAACGTTCCCTGTTGCATCACTGATTACTCAAATGAGTGACGGAAACATTTGTATTCTCAAATTCCTGACAGGCTGTTCCTCCCAACTTACCAGAGTTATCAATGCTCTATCAGATATTTAATGACAGCCAGCTAAATGTAATCGATATGCATCATGCACGACATTAATGATATAGTATAGTGGTTTTCAGGCCCTTTTAGCTTTTGAACTCCACTTTATTATTAATATTCAAGATTTGGGAATACGAGTCAAAAAGCTCAAGATGCGATCCAGCGCGTGAAGGATGCAGTCTGGACGCGTGCCAGCCTAAATGAATATAACCCCGAAAACGCTACGTTACCGCCCCACTAGATGTTGTCAAAAGAATAATTAGTCGTCAGTTGTTCACGTTCAAAGTTTGAACCACTCGCGCTGATCACACTAGTCCCATCTAAACAGTGGAAAAGCGTCATCTAGCAATTTCTCTTTATACTCCAGCATCATGAATGTTGCGCCGTTATCAGTATTCTGCTTTATTTACACAATCGGGTTCGCCGTTATTGCAATAAAGAGCACGGCTTAATCCGTTACTTCCAGTATCAATAAATCTACTGTGTTCTGCTTCCGCGGCGATGGCCGTGAACCGATATAGTAACATCTTTATAACACCGAGTTTTTAATACATCGAAAGCACAAGAGAGTAGGTATACGTGGTTTGAATGTTGTCGAATTCACTGTGGGTAGTAGACTGGTATGTGGTGTTGAAACTCCTTAGTCGCTGAAACAACACTGCTGAGAGAATGTAAACTTGTCGTTTCTCTTTATCTTTCCCGTTTTTAGTTGGGGTATAACTAAATCAAAAAAGACGGAAAACTAGAGAAGAGGAACAAGAGTTTTAGCTATTTCTGTTTAAAACTCGTTTTCAATGGTGCACACTACACAGACTTGTGGAAATGAGACAGAAATAAGATGTGTCAAGCTACAGGTTGACTTTGATACTGTCCAAGTCCTCCCGCCAACCCACTCCTGCCAACTTGACACATCCGAATAAAATAAGGACATAAAAGATAGATAGTTAACATGTGTCGGAGTTCGTTTTTTTAAATAACAGTATATAGGAAATCAGACGTCGTTTTGCCTGCCGCGGCTGTGTGTTGCCAGTGGCCAGATGGCCTTTGTTGTTACACTCGTTGTAGTCCGAACATGGAGGTAGAAACTGTGGTCCATGGTCCGAATCAGATTCAAGTCCGACTCATGGTCCGAGCGCATTTTTTTCAATGTGATTATGTCGGAAATCAAAATTGATATCAATAAGAGAAGACTGCATTCTTGATATACTCTGGTCGGGGATTAGCTTTTTTCATGGGGTCACTGAAATAACGTTACAGCGATCATAGACTACTCGCGTCCGATCCGACTTATGAGTGATTGGACAAATGAACACGGGCCTCGATATTTACATGGACACGATTTAATAGTTGCAACATCCAAATGTATCTATACCAAAAGTGCGGTATGTAAATGCTGGTCTGATCAGCTTGCATGTCGGTTTTGCAAGCTGGGGTTCATGTTACCGAGGGAGTGATGGAAGCAGTGGGAACAGCCACGTAAATAAGCTTGCCAATATGGCTGCTCGTGGGTTTTGAAGAAAGCCGTGCAGTGTTTTTAGGTCGTCGTGCCCCTGCAAAGAGCTGAACGGTCTGAGTCTAGTGGCATAGGAGGGATCCATAGAAGAGGCTTGTACAGGTGATCATGGTTTCAAAATCATAGGGGAAGACTGGCCCGGTTAGTCCGCTAGTGATTCGGGCAGCTACATATCGAAGTTACCACTGGTTTGTTATAGACTCAAAATCGCAACAAATTTGTTCATAATGTGGGGATCGGACCGATCTAAGCAGTGCGGTTCTCCTTGGATTTTGCTATAACGGTTAGTAACGATAGTATTGACCGGAGCTGATGAACAGTGTGTGTGAGCAAGGAAAGCTGTGGTAGCATCGCCCATAACGTTGATTTTGCGGGGGCGGGGACGCCGTGGGGATGGAGGCGTTACGTTTGCACCATGATGACTGAGCGTGACCCGTGCATTTTATATTATTTCGGTCTGCAGGGTAACGTTAACTAAATGTAACAATTTAGGTGTTTCGAGCTACCTACTCGTTGTGGTAAAAGAATGGGATTTACATGTCGTACTTATGTTGGTCATGGAAGAAACAGGTGTACTAAAGGTAACCAAGGCTGAAGCTGTTAATGAGGATGGATCAGTTTCGGGGCGTGGCATATGGGAACCGGAAAGGAGCTTCTGACTCTTCCCAAAATCAGAGGTGGTAAGACTGTTGGAAGGAAGTTGTAACATCAGGTAAAGGTTGTGTTGAAAATCATTGACCATCAGAACTCAATTAAATTATGTTAATATATTACTTAGGTTCCTTCAGTTTATTTTATTTTTTATTTTTAGAATGATAAGAATCTGACTGGAAACCTTTTAAGGATTGAACATAGTGAAAAAAAAGTGGTAACGTTATAAGTCTTGTGATGTGAAAGACATACTTTCAACAATTAACTATTACCATTGTAGTTCAAAGACAGACTGCTTAGCTATTACTAAATTAGCAAAGCTTGGTATGTGGGAATGTTTTAAAGTGAAGTGGTACAGGAAACTTTCTGAAAGGTTGTGCCAGGCTTTTCAAAGACTCTGCAAGACAGGTAGATGATACTTGACACCAATAGCATTAGAAGTTAACATTGATTCAATCACTTTTTTTTTAAATGAGGATACACCTGTTAGTCTAGATCAACCATCCTGGTTAGGAAATGTTTCTTTCTTCTGATAGAGACCTCCATGGAGAGAGAGAATGCCCAAGCCCAGGGCCAAGCCCTCATGATCATGGCTGACTGTAGCCTGACTGAGCCAATTGAAATCCAGCACTGGGGTTATTCTAGGTCATTACCCTATGCAAGCAACCTGATTGGCTGGGTGATACCATTGCAAAAAGGGAAAATATCATTCTGATTCATCTGTAAGAGAATTTTGAAAATTGCACAATAGTGATGTATAAAAAAGTCATGTCCAGTTTGTTTTTCTTTGATATCATTGTTTTCATTATTATTATCTTATATATATATATATAATGTAAAGTCAGCCCGCTCCCTGTAGGTAAGTGGGCATGTCAGTAGTGACATCACATAATCGCTAACTTGTGAAGGCATGCCTGGGACCGCCATGGGCAGGTAGAGACCTGGTGGGTGGGTCTGCTCACAGTATATAAAGGTGATGGTTGAAGTGAGACCAACACATAGGAGCTGTAGTCTGAAGCTATCTCTGTGTTGTATAGAGTGAGAAGCACGATGAGGAAAAAGAAACCAGGTATGATTTTATATACTAATAATCCTATAACATTACCTGCTGAGTTTATGCCAGACAGGTGTACTTTCACCTATCTTAGAGTAGATATGGATGTTGCATTTTTTCCCCTTTTCCAAATGGTTTACCATATGTAGATAATTTGAGTGTTTTTTTTAACCATTTACCTGTTACCCAATCTATAGATAATCTTCACTGACCAGTTGTTTTTAAGGTCTCACATCCAACATATGTCCAAAGGTTCCTAATCCAAGGTATAAAGGTTACCCAACACTGGTATTTGCTAACAGCCTGATGTCTTGTTGGCTTACAATCACATCTGTCATGCCCTGCACATACAAGGTTTTAAATTTGTGCTGTAACATTCTGACTAGATTTGGTAACACTCATCTTTTTTTTTTTTGAAACAGGGTTTAGGAGTCTACTGTACAAAATCAAGATCAATTTTGTCCACTACCATCTCCACATTTACTTATCAAGAAGGACAGGAAAATTGAAATGTTTGAATCTAGGACTTATAAGGTATCATAGTAGTCAAGAAATAATGTTAAGGAGATAAGCCCAGTTTATTTTTGCAAGACATGTATCCTTGACTTTTTCTTTTTGTGTAGTGGTTGCAAGCATGGATCTGACCAAGAAAAAGGGTCACCATTCTACTGATGGAGATGAGACAAAGAGTTCTGTAAGTCACTATACAGTGTATTTCCTTTGACATTTCTGTACTCACCTGTAGCAAGAAGGTTTAAGTGGAACCTCCTTACCTGTATCACTTGATTGCAGTGAACATTACTGATGAAAAAGCTGAGATGTTTTGTCCATTCACTTTTATTTTAGACACAGAAGCGAGGTGTCGCAGATTCCTCCAATGATGGTCCAGCAAAGCGTCTGAGGACTAACCCACCAAAAGTGGAGCCCTTTTACACCCTGGGTATCAAAGAGGAGGAGGCTGCTCAGCCATCTACTTCCGGGGCCTCCACTGGTGCAATAAACAAGATATTGTACTTCTATAGGGGGGAGTACATTGCTGTTAGGAATGATGAAGGTGAGATATGTCATGTGGATTTCAAGTGAGAAGCTCTTATAACTAAGTTAAAGAAAGGCTGAAACAAATGTTCACAGATATGTGGTCTAATGATGTCTAATGATGTTACATGCATAATAAAGCAGTTGAGATTACAACTTTGATATTTGAAGAAAAACTTAATGTGAGCCAAGACCTACCTTTCATGTCTCTCACAGTTTTCTAATAAAAAAGGGGAAACTTATAGTCATTACATTATTGTTGTTTTTCTTTATTTAAGTGAATGCACTCAATATCTAGTACAATGTACGTAATAACTTAATAACTATTAATATCTATGTTTTATAGGCTCCTTTTACCTTTGTGAGGCATCCCAAAACATTTACAACACCTCCAAGACCTTCAAGGTCCGATGGCTGGAGGTAGAAGATGCACCAAACATCTACCGGAAGTCTTACTATGACAACATTGAGCTGGAGTCCATCATCACTCATGTCAAACTTCAGCGTATGGAAAAGGACAAATATGTCCTACCACAGGTGAACTGGCCTTCCTCTTACTGAACTCATATCTTGTGTCATATATTTGTTCTGTCAATAAAGTTTTTTTTAATCTTCATGCGGACAATATTTCAACATTTATTGATTTTGTGATATTCATTTTCTAACAGGCAGAGATCCTTAAGACACAGAAGATCCTGCGGCGGGCTATCACAGGCATCGCTGAGGATGATGAAGATGAAGTCTTGGATGTTAAAGAAGGTGGGAAGTACATGAAGTGAAATTCTAGCTGTTTTACCAAATGTATTTAGTATAATAGTTTATGTTGTAAGTCTCATGCTGTAAAGTACCGGTAATTTACAATCTCAAATGCATGAAAAAATGTATAGCCAAGATACATTTGTACATATTATGGCAAGTTTGACATTAGGGCCTATGACTTGTGAAATAAATGTTTTTTTTTGGTTCACAACAGAGGAAAAAGATGAGACTGTTACTCCAAAAAAGACACAGGCCAAGGCCAAGTTGAAGGCGAAGAAAACTAAAGCACCCATCCGGACAAGAGCAAAGAAAGTGGTACCGCCTGCTGTGAAAAGGGGCAGGGCAGCTGTGAAGAAGGCCATAGCTAAAGTTACCAAGAAAGGCAAAAGTGCTCCCAAGAAAGGTATGATTCATCTTATTAGTTCAGTGATACTTTGGTGATGATGTGAGTAAAGCTGAGTTTTTGTCCTGTCCTTATCATTGAATGTTTTATTCCTTCAGGAAAAGCCAGCAAAGCTCCTGCAAAACAGACTGCCACTATGATAAAAGAGGAATTGTTGAAGAAGCTTGGTAAGGGAGGACCTCTGTTTGGTCCTGATAAAAAGTTGACCCCCAGGGCAGACATGAAGGTGCCAGAAAAGGACCCCTCATTCGAGGAGAGGTTAGTGATACATAACTCATAACTCATCCCAACTTACACATGTATGTGTGGATTGTCTTCATCAAGTGGTGCATGTATGTTTATGTACCACAGTTCATGCTGCATTTGGTCTGAATTCAGTTAGTCATGCAAAAATTTGGGCAATTAGCTAAATGGTTTAGGTTTATATTCTGCAATGTTCTTTTCTCCTCTGCAGGTCCACACCATCCCACCTGCTACCCCAGAAGCAGAGCATCCGAGCTGTCCTTCTCAATGACATGAAACTGCTGCGATCTCTTATTGCAGACACAACAAACATTCCAACAGTAAGACATCATTTGTTTTACAAGGTCCATCGGTAGTATGCACTGTATTTACATAGTTTTACAACAGTTATGTTTGTATGTCTGTTTGTTATCTGCTTTTTTTGAGACACAGTCATCTGCCTTTTTTTTTGCATACATCTTTGTTGAATTTTACAGGTATATGATGCACAGAGATCTGTTGACGTACCTATAGATGCGGTAATGTATGCCATCCGCAACAGGAATAAGGATGCCATCAAGTTGTTTGGAGACCACATGAAGAAGCACAGCAGCAACCCTCGTTGCAGCAGACCATACAGCCTTCTCAAGCACCAGGGAACTGGCAGGTACCATGCACAAATTAAACTGCTGAGGAAGAGATTAGTAACAGCACATAGCCATTGCTACAGAATCATTTTTTAACACATGAGAACCTACCCACACAGCTACAGTACATGAGAACACATGAGAACTAGCCCCCTATATAACATTTCTGTTGCTTTTGTATGGTACCTTGAACTTGGAGTGTACAGTATATGTGCAGTTTGTTTCTGACAATGAATGTATATATAATGTTGAGCCTCATATCTGACTTGCCACAGATATAACTGGTACTCCCTGGGCCATGCTGTACGGAACATTTCAATGAGCAGGGGGAGTAAGGAAGGGAACAATGCTTTTACAAAGGTATGTTGATTTTAACTTGATCATTTAAGTTTTAACTTGAAACTATTATAATGGCTGGTCTCATTTCTGCTTATTTATCAAACAATGTATCCCGGACTAAATGACTGACCCCTGCTACAGCATTCTTTTAGCAGGCCTATTAATTCCTGTGACTATACCATATAACATATCATTTATTACAACTAGGACATTGATGATGGTCTGGACGATTATACTGAAACCTATGGAAAAGAAGTTTTGCAGACAGGAGCTACCAAAAGATGTTCTAGACATCTGTATTGCTGTGATACCAAACTTCAAGGTACAGTAGTACATAAAGTGTCACTCCCCTGGTTACTCGGTATAGATTTATTACTCCGTGAAGGAGGTCAGGACCTCCAGACGGAGTGTTGTGAACAGCCGTTTTTTTCGTGTTCGCAGTCAAAACACTGGGTTCTCTTTGTGTAATTGGCATGCAATTTTATACGCCGTCTGCGGGCATGCTCGTGATGATGCACGAATGTGTATTTTTGCCGTTGCTGCTTTCTCTGTCAATGTAATATTTCAAATGCACCCCAACAATTTT